CATGAACAAAGGCTTAATTAATAATGAACAAAGACTTAATTAATAATGATTCACGCCTAGTAATTACTTCATTACTACCTTAATTAGCACTTGCACTTAATTTGCCTGTGCTGTAAATAGTTACTCATAATTATTTCATACTTAATTACTCATGAACTAACCATTTGAGCATTTATTAATCATTAGTAAACTATAAGAGAATGATTTACTAATAATACAATGTAATGATAATTCTGGCAGCTGTTATCTGTTAGTTTAGTCTTTTTGAAAGTTTTTCTAAAGTGAAGACGAATTATCCTTTATTAAACATTTACTAAGCGTGAATCATTATTAATTAAATCTTTGTTCATTATTAATTAAGTCTTTGTTCATGCTTTATTAAGGCTAAATAATGTGTAGTTATTATAAAGTGTTACCAAAAAAACTAACAAAAAAAGAACAGATTTCGACGTCGATTTCCAATATTTAATTTTAAGTTTATTTAAATAATTCCAGTCAAAAACAGTCTGGTGTTTGTAGCATCAGGTCGAACTGAAAAGGCCAGAACTGATGTGAAACGACGTTTAAACTTTTCTTTCCCGTGTCGTAAAACCAACGTCAGAGCGAAACAAGAAAAGATCACAACACCGCAGCACTGAGTGTTTCCAGGTTCATCAGTGTCTCAGATATTCTCCTTCAGGACTGTGTTTACATGAGCTCTGACAAACCGGGACATCATCTCCCCGAGTAAATCACCCAAATTTACTTATTTTAATTCAATTTAATAAACCAGGAAAAACACAAACAACCATGAGCTGGTTTAGCAGAAGAAACTGGAGAGGTTTAACCAGTTTAACCTGCAGCTCAAACCCGACGCTTCCAAACACTGTGGGACAAGTTCTACTGCAGCAGATTCTTCATTCCAAACTGCTCCATAAATAAACTCAACTTTACAACATCTAAACCACAACCACGTCTGTCGGATCAGATCATTCAGCTCATGTGTTTCTGTTTTACACAGGGTCCGTTGCGTATTAATGTGTATTGTGTATTACAGGCGGGTAGTAAATACACACGGGTGAGTCAGGACTAAACCAGGACTAAACCAGGTCTAAACCAGGTCTAAACCAGGTCTAAACCAGGACTAATCTTGGATACTCTCTTGGAGAACACAGAGCAGTTTGTCCACAAAGTGCGATCAGGCAATTCCCGCGTTTAACTCTGTGAGGTGCGGAGCTGAGCCGCTCCTTTCCTGCGTCACTTCCAAGCCCGTCCTGACGGTGAGTCCTGTTTCAGTCCTGGTTTAGTCCTGGTTTAGTCCTGGTTTAGTCCTGGTTTAGTCCTGGTTTAGTCCTGTTTCAGTTCTGGTTTAGTCCTGGGTTAGTCTTGGTTCAGTTCGTGGTGGCAGTGCAAAGTTGATATAATCTCGGGTTAACTGGCAGGTGTGGTGTTGTACTGGCAGGTGTGGTCTGTGGGTGTCCTGTACTGGACTCTGCTCTGTCGGCTCCATTACAGAATAAATGAATCTTCAGTTTGTTTCATAAAGAAGAAGGAAAATAACAAAAGGACGACAGCAGCAACAAGTTTGAAGAAGGAAGTAAAAAGTGTTGCACCTGTCGATCCTGTCGGAGAAAAGTGTATAAAGTTTGTGTTGAGGTTTTACAGACTTAAAACAGACAGAATAAGTGTAAAATATAAAGTTGATACTTGGTGGATTTCACCTGTCGCAGGTTATTTTTAGAACATAACACCTGAGATAAACGAGGGACACTGTCCTCTCACCTCAGCCTGTGCACATGGACTCACACTTGTCCTCGACCGGGACGGAAAACAGAGAATTTCTTGTCCAAGTCGTTGTTAAATGTTCATTTGTGCTTCAGTATGTTTCAGACCCACTGTTTGTGTCTCGCTCCTTCTGAGTCACAGACGAGAGACGCTCAGTTTAATGTCCCAGTGAACGGAGCTGAAAACCCGCACATTTGCATCACTTTATAAAAAAAACCCGGACGCCCCGGACATGACGCAAAATACGGACATGTCCAGGGAAAAACAGACGTTTGAACACCCTAATTTACACAAACTAAACTTAAACCACATGGTTCATTTGCATAAACTAATGTGTGTGATAAAAACTGTTGTTTCTCTGGCGCCAGCATCATTTCTTTTTTTATCTGAGCCTTAAACTGCGTCGTAGGTTCATCCTCAGGTCCAGACGTGTGAAAAATAAATCATCATGACCCTGAGTGATTCTGTTCAAACGTCCACACACGAAACGAAACAAACACAAACTGGAAAATATAGCCGCAAGCAGCAATGATCGGCCCTCACGTGCGCCAAAACCAAAATGAAAAAACAGATCGTCATCCAATTTTTTCAGATTTTGATTTTGTGTTTAAACGAATAACAGAAAAAAAAACAGATAACGACCATTTCTTGTTTATGTGACTTAAACTGTGATGCTGGACTGGACCAGGACTGAGCCCGGGACCAGAACAGAACTGACACCAGGACTGAGACTGAGACCAAAAACTGAGACCAGAACCAGACCAAGATTGAGACCAGGACTCAGACTGGGAACAGGACCAGGACTGAGACCAGAACTGAGACCAGGACTGAGGACTGAGACCAGGACTGAAAAGGGTTTAGTCCTGTTTTAGTCCTGGTTCAGTCCGGCATCACAGTTTAAATCACGTAAACGGGAAACGGACATTATTTGTTTTTTATTTTGGTTTTGGAGACAAATAATGAAGAAAATTGTTGTTTTTTAATTTTCTTATTTTTAGTTTTATTTTGAAAAACAAATGAATGAACGACACACAGATTATAAAAACTCCAGCTCTGTTTTTGACGAGGAAACAACTTTCTCTCCCGATTTAAATCTCACGAGTGTGGGTTTTGTTTAGTTTTTTTTCCGTCCTTCGTGATCTGTCGGGGTTTTACGTCTGGGTGAGTTTCTGACTTTCGCCGCAGCTTCTCGCTCGCTCATATTTGCGCAGATCGGTCTTCATCGTTTGTCGGTCGCGGCGTCACTCGGACTCGTACAGCACATTCCTCGTGTTCGATAATAAAACACAAACACTCCAATTAGACCAGAATTTACGACGCCGTCCAATTTCACAAATGTCCCTCCATCAAATAAGACTCTGCGCCAACGACAGAGAGAGAAGAGAGAGAGAGAGAGAGAGAAGAGAGAGAAGAGAGAGAAGAGAGAGAGAGAAGAGAGAGAGAGAGAGAGAAGAGAAGAGAAGAGAGAGAAAAGAGAAGAGAAGAGAAGAGAGAGAGAGAAGAGAGAGAAGAGAAGAGAAGAGAGAAAGAGAAGAGAGAGAGAGAGAGAGAAGAGAGAGAAGAGAGAAGAGAGAAGAGAGAGAGAGAGAAGAGAAGAGAAGAGAAGAAGAGAAGAGAGAGAGAGAGAGAAGAGAAAGAGAGAAGAGAAGAGAGAGAAGAAGAAAGAGACGAGAAGAGAAGAGAGAGAAGAGAGAAAGAGAGAGAAGAGAAGAGAGAGAAGAGAAGAGAGAGAAGAAGAGAAGAGAAGAGAAGAGAGAGAAGAGGAGGATGTGTGGAGTGTTTCACTTTAAACAAACAGAAACTGAAGCTCAAGACTCCAACTGTTTTAATGAGTCACTCCTGATCTAAACCAGGACTAAACCAGGACTAAACCAGGTCTAAACCAGGACTAAACCAGGACTGAACCAGGTCCAAACCAGGACTAAACAAGATCTAAACCAGGTCTAAACCAGGTCTCTGTCTCACCTTTCTGTTTCTTAATCTTTCCAGGATAAACGTGTGTGTGTGTGTGTGTGTGTGTGTGTGTGTGTGTGTGTGTGTGTGTGTGTGTGTGTGTGTGTGTGTGTGTGTGTGTGTGTGTGTGTGTGTGTGTGTATGTGTGTGTGTGTGTGTGTGTGTGTGTGTGTGTGTGTGTGTTTGTCAACTGAGACAATAAGATTTTTACACAATTAAACTTGACATTTCACCAAACAAATTCATTAGATTTGATGAAAATCCACATGTCAGAAACCAGGTCTAAACCAGGACTAAACCAGGACTAAACCAGGACTAAACCAGGACTAAACCAGGTCTAAACCAGGACTAAACCAGGACTAAACCAGGACTAAACCAGGACTAAACCAGGACTAAACCAGGTCTAAACCAGACTAAACCAAGGACTAAACCAGGTCTAAACCAGGTCTAAACCCAGGACTAAACCAGGTCTAAAGGACTAAAACCAGGACTAAACCAGGACTAAACCAGGACTAAATGAGATCTAAACAAGTCTAAACCAGGTCTAAACCAGGTCTAAACTTCCAACAGGTTCCATGACTCATCCCTGTTTTTGTATCGACCCTCATGACATAAACCTGCTCCTCCTCACCGACCTGAGAACTAAACCAGGACTAAACCAGGACTAAACCAGGACTAAACCAGGACTAAACAAGATCTGAAACAGGACTGAACCAGGACTAAACAACAACTAAATCAGGTAGAAACAAGATCTAAATCGGGACCAAACCAGATCTAAACCAGGTCTCTGTCTCACCTTTCTGTCTCTTAATCTTTCCAGGATAAACACAGGTGTGTGTGTGTGTGTGTGTGTGTGTGTGTGTGTGTGTGTGTGTGTGTGTGTGTGTGTGTGTGTGTGTGTTTTACAATCCCCCCAAACAAACCAACTGAGATCATGTTATTTTTACACAATTAAACTTGACATTTTACACAATAAACTCATCAGACCCGGGACTCGACCCAAACCAAACCAAACCAAACCAAACCCGGTGTCATCGCACGGATCCGGTCGATCCTGATCTCGGTTACGCGCCTCCCGGAGCCGCTGCCAGAGACTGCGGCTCCGACAGCGGCTCCGACAGCGGGTGGCATGACCGTGAGGAGCCGCGAGGAGGAGCCGCGAGAAGGAGCCGCGAGGAGCCGTGGACTTGATGAATGTGCAGTTTCACCAAGAGACCGGGGAGGAGGAGGGGGGGGGGGGGCTGTACGTGGGGAAAAAAAAACCCAAAAAGTGCAGCTCTTACCGATGTGGATGATGGAGTCTGCGCCCGCGGTTCTGTTGCAGTGCCACATCCACAGCGCGGCCAACACCACCACGATCAGCGTCTCCATCTCCGCACGGAGCCCCAATGCGCATCCAGCACGCCGCCGTTTACAATCCACACACGCGTGAAAGCAGCGGGAGCCACACGAGCCGCACGAGCCGCACAGGAACCAAGACGAGCCCAGGTAAATCCCAAAAAAACAACCAAAAGTGAGGAGGCAAAAGCAGAAGATGAAGAAGTATTCCCAGGTGTTCCGAGGCGCGCGGGGACCGGAGGAAGCGGCGGGGCCAGGCGGGAGGTCGAGCCGAGCGCGGGGGGTGGAGCGCGGGGAGAGGACGTGAGGAGACCCCGGTGTCCGTGATGTTCGTGTCCGCCCGGAGATCCGCGCAGCTCCGAGTCTGGGACGCACTGCAAACTGCGGAGGAGGGACCAGCGCCTCTCTCTCCTCTCTCCTCTCTCTCTCCTCTCCTCTCTCTCTCTCTCTCTCTCTCTCTTTCTCTCTCTCTTCTCTTATGTGTCCATCTCTGCGCACCACGTGACTGCGGAGCCTCTATGTGAGCGGAGCGGCGCGCGCGGGGCGAGAGAAGCCGAAGCGACGCGGCGCGAGTCAATCCGCCGAACTGAAAGTGGAAGCGCCGCCGCCGCCGTGAGCCCCGCCGTTTCCCCGCGTGGACCGGCGCCAGACCCGCGGCGTGACGGGTGAGTAAGCACGCGCCTCACGCACCGCACGCGCCTCACGCACCGCAAACGCAGACGCCGAGATACAAACTCGCAGATCCCGGAGCGTAAAGATGTTTGTTATTAAATCTGCGGTTTATGCTTCTGTCCAAACCTCCGCGGGCTCGAGCAGCGGACGTGAAAGAAGAACAAACCGTCCGCGTGAGTTTGTGTCGGAGGACGACAGCGGAGTTACGCACGGAGCACGAGACGAACATGACACGAGGACACGCGCGTTTACAGAGAGAGAGGAGACAAGACCGAGACCAAGACTTTTAAAGACCGAGACTTTTATAAAACAAGACCAAGACCGAGACTTTTACTAAAACAAGACCAAGACCAAGACTTTTATAAAACAAGACCAAGACCGAGACTTTTAAAGACCGAGACTTTTCTAAAACAAGACCAAGACCGAGACTTTTAAAGACCGAGACTTTTCTAAAACAAGACCAAGACCGAGACTTTTATAAAACAAGACCAAGACCGAGACTTTTAAAGACCGAGACTTTTCTAAAACAAGACCAAGACCGAGACTTTTAAAGACCAAGACTTTTAAAGACCGAGACTTTTATAAAACAAGACCAAGACCGAGACTTTTCTAAAACAAGACCAAGACCGAGACTTTTAAAGACCAAGACATAGACAAGACGAGACTTTTATAAAACAAGACCAAGACCGAGACTTTTAAAGACCAAGACATAGACAAGACTGAGACTTTTAAAGGTCGAGACTGAAACAAGACCAAGATTTTTAAAGGTTGAGATCAAGTCAAGACCAAGACCTCTAAGGGTCGGGACCGAGACAAGACCAAAACTTTTAAAGACTAAGACTTTTAAAGACCGAGACTGAGACAAGACCGAGACTTGTAAAGACTGAGACAAGACAAGATCGAGACTTTTAAAATCAAGACTTTTAAAGACCGAGCCTTTTAAGGACCGAGATAAGACCAAGACCAAGACTTTCAAAGATCAAGACAAGACCAAGATTTTTCTAGGTCAAGACCAAGACTTTTAAAGATAAAACTGAGACTTTTAAAAACCGAGACCGAGACAAGACCATTTTATTTTTCATTTTTATTTGTTTCATTCATGAAAGATGAACTCAAAATAATCATGTTTCATGCATCAATGTGAATGAAAAGAGCAGAAAGAAGTTTAGATTTGTAAAATCTGCCCCGTTTTCACTTCAAATAAATAAATAAATAAAAATAAATACTTGAACAATTGAAACATTTACATGATATAAACAATATTAAATATTTGTTCATGGACACAAAAGGACAGATCACATCATGTTCAACGTTTCTTTTTAAACACTTGAAGAGATCTTGAAGTTTTTTTTAAGTTTGAAGTTTTAATTTAGACTCAAACTTTTAATTGAAACATTTTTTGCAGTGTTGTTGTTCTGAACCTGACTTTAAAAAACTTTTTTTTTTTTTTTTTTTTTTTTTTTTAAGATTTAAATTCCTTTCCAATTTTAATGACTTTCTCTTTTTGTACATTTTTGTTTTTGGAGATTGTTGAGCAGGACCTTGGATTTGTTGAGTCTCTGTCTCCGTTTCTGTTGACGATTCTTAAAACTCGTGACCTGAGTTTACAACATAAAATATAATAATATAAGAGTCTGGGTTTCAGCACCTCGGACAGCTCCTCTGCTCAACTAAACAATCACACTTTATTTTTCTACATTTCAATCTTTCTTTATGTTCTACTGAACTAGTTTTTTAAATATCGACACTTGAGAACATTTTTAAATGACGTTTTTTTAGATTTAGACCTGATTTAATTCAAACAGACTCCACTGCTCCGACCTTACACCAACTCAAACTATTTCATTTCATTTGTATTTGTTTCATTCAGAATAAAAACTCAATAATCATGTTTCATGAATCAGTGTGAAAGAAAAGAGCAGAAAGAAGTTTAGACTTTAGACTTGAGACTAATATCAGCTTCCTTTTTTACTCAAATTAAAACATTTCTAACACTTAAACAGTTCCAACTACAGACACAATTATTATTATTATTATTATTATGATTTTCTCTCTTTGTATTTTTAAAAATTATTTTTAACTTTATTTATAAATTTATTTATTTTTTGGAGATTGTAAAAGTGGATCTTGGGTTTGTTGAGTTTCTGTCTCCACGATCACTGACAATTCAAAAAATAAGAGTTTGGATTTCAGCACCACATGAGCGGACAGCTCCTCTGCTGCACTAAACAATGATACATTATTTTCTATCTTTTTTTTTTTTATTATTATTATTATTTTCTACTTAACTTTTTTAATATAAACACTTGAGAACATTTTGTAAAACACATTTTTGCCCTGATTTAACGAGAACAAACTCCACTGCTCTGACCTCAGACGAGACTCAAACCATTTCATTTTTCATTTTTTATTTTTTATTTGTTTCATTCATGAAAGATGAAAACAAAATAATCATGTTTCTTGCATCAGTGTGAATGAAAAGGAGCAGAAAGAAGTTCAGACTGAGTAATATCTGCTCTGTTTTCACTCAAAATTTGTTCTAAAAGTTCAGATTTTTAAACCAGGACTAAACCAGGACTAAACACACTCCTCTGCTCTGACCTGTGTCCTTTTCGTGTGTTTTCAGGAGGAGTCGTCTCTCATCTTCGTCTTCGTCTCGTCTTCGTCTCTGATCTTCGTCCTCGTCTTCGTCTCTCATCTTCGTCCTCGTCTTCGTCTCTCGTCTCTCATCTTCGTCCTCGTCTTCGTCGTCCGCACTCGACTTTACAATTAAAGGATATTTCTTGTGGACACGGAGGTTCAGGAAAGTCCTTTAATTGTTCAGTTGTGTGTGGGGTTTTTTTCTCTAAAGAGCGAGAAGAACTTCAGCACCACAGAGACCGGACAGCTCCTCCCACTCACAGGACTCAACGCCGGGTCTGGACCGAGACCGAAACCGAAACCGAGACCGAGACCGAGACCAGGTTCATCCGGGTCCGAACAGAGACCGAGACCGGGACCAGGTTCATCCGGGTCTGGACTGAGCTCATCTCTCTTGTCCATGTGGCCCTGGTCCTACAGCGGCTTTAGGAACTTAAGAAAGATGTTTGGGTTACACATTTTGTTTTTGAGTTGTCCAAAGTATCAAAGTTCAGATGAGTCACTTTCTCACGACAGAAATGAAAAATAAATGAAAGTTTCAGAGGATTTTCTTAGTTAAAAGTCCAGAACAGGTCAAGGATCCGTGTTCCATTTGTTCTTTTGAATTTCAACTAAGAAGGAAAAACAATAAAATCAGAAAACAGTTTGTCATTTCATTTTTCTGTTTTAGTGAACAGATTTCAACTTCTATTTCCAATATTTAATTTAAAGTTTATTTTAAAAAAAAGAGTCACTGTGCCAAATTGAATTTTAATATTTGATTCTCTCTGGATTATTTGCCCAGATTTTTTACTAAAAACTGTTAAAACTAGGATTAAACCAGGACTAAACAAGAATTTAACCCAGACTAAAAACAGATTAAACTAGGATCAATCCAGTTTCTAACCAAGACTAAAACTAGAACCAAACCAGGACTAAACCCAGACTTAAAACTGTCAAAATTAGGACTAAAAACTGTAAAACCCTGGACTAAACCAAATTATAAAACACAAATAAATTTGCAATTTATAAAAACAAAAAAGAAAGAAAATACAGGGACACGTAGATGAAGAAAACCAGGAACATTTTCTCAGTTTTCTCAGATTTTAAAAACAGATTAAACTAGTTCCTAAGAAAGATTAAAACTAGAACTAAACTCAGAAACTAAACTCAGACTAAAAACAGTCAAAACTAGAACTAAACCAAATGATTAAAACACAAATTAAAAGGCAATTCATAAAAGCAAAAAAGAAAGAAAATACAGTGACACATAGATGAAGAAAACCAGGTCATTTTCTCAGTTTTCTGAAATTTCTTATCACCGACAGAGTCCAAAAAAGTCGTCCTCCACGTGTTTCCAAACGTCTTCTGGTTTTGTTAACTCAGCGTGAACAGATCCCGTCAGTATCGAGTATCGACTCTGTTCTTGAGTATCGAAAAGTTTTAGTATTTAGTATCGTGACACAAACTCAGGTCCGGCTCATTAACTTCTAAACATGTGGATTTCAGCACCTCAGTCTGAACAGCTCCTCTCAACTCTGATTCTGTTGGTCTTAATATAAATAAATCCAATGATTATTTAGTTTTTTAATGTTTCATCATTAAACTCTCTGGACTTTTGTCTCTGTCAGCTCCACTTTCATGACCTGATCACATTTGTCTTTGTCTCTCTGAGTTTTTCTGAATAAAATTTGATTGGAAAAGTCTGAACGTGTCAAAGTCAGAATTTCTTGCTGGGGTGTAGCTCCCCCCGTTGGAGCCTGGAGG